CCCTACTGTGTGGCTACCAGGCAACTTGATAATGTGGAGCTAGAACATTAAATACCTTAATACGGTATAAAATAAAGTATAAGTCTCCCAGCTGAGCATTGGGAACATTTATGGGTCTGGAGATAGCGTTTGTTTTTCTCCCATCCTGTCCTAGTATCCCAACTGTTAAAATAAACAACTGCTTTTGGTTTGTAGCATAACTTTACAGTTTAGGAGCCCGTGTCTGAAATAACGCATTAGCCACTCACTACACAACACTGAAATAAAAACAGAGCAGTGTGTAACTTGGACTCTGCAGCCACCAGCTGCACCTCATCTTGCTAATCTTCAGGCTTTTTTTTTTTAAAAGCGGGGGCTTGTAAGATTTAAGTTACACAACTCCCTTTTTATTTTTAAAGTGAGTGGATTCCTTGTTGCGTTGTTGAGGATGATAAATTGATACCACATGTTGCTTCCAGACAAAAAAGACTCTGTGCTGCAGTGGGAGCACTTGCAGCTGGTGTCTGAGTTAATGGACGAGCTCCACAAGGTAAACACGGGTTGGAAGAGGCCGAAACAGCCACAGGGAGGGGGAATTTTCACCGTTTTAAAGGCTCAAGCATTTGCTGCTGTCGCCTGACCGGGACTGAGTGTTGAAATAACGTGCAGTCCCAGCTTCCACGGGAGCCTCATTCAGTTGTTCGTGTCAATTCAGGGATACAGCACTTTGGGAATGTTTTGAGTGTCCTCTCTGGGAGGTTACCCATTTGCAGTCTTATCAAAATACCAAGAGAGATGTATAATTAGGACATGGCAGCCAATTTTTTTTTTTTTTCCCCAAGCAAAATGTGAGTGATTCTGTCAAGGACTATTAACTGAGCAAAACGTGGTGCAGCGGGTCAAAATTATAAAAGCTGAGAGCATGGCCCCAGGTTTGGGGAAAGGGCTGCCACCCCACGTGTTGCTGCCCTGGCTTCCATGGATCCCCCAGCTGCAGCATTCTCCTGATGCCATCAGCTTAAGCCAAGGTAGGGCAGCAGCGCTGCTTGCCTGTGGCACTGCACTGCATCTGCCCTGCCTCCTGTGTTCCTCAGCTCTGGGTCTTCCTCATCTCCAGGGCTGGTCATTCTTCCCTGCAGGACCATTTTCCCAGGGGACCGGGAGCCAGCTGGGCTCAGTGCCATACGGGATGGCCTTGATCTTATCTGCAGGAACCTCAGTCTTCTGGCTTTCAGCAGAGTGCACAGCGTTCTTGGAGTCCAGTAAAAATAGTAACACTAATAAAGGGAGGAGCTCATCCTATTTCTTCTCTGCTCTGCTCTTGTACAGTCCATATGTTGTACCCATCGGTGGCATCTGAGCTCTTTCCAAGGTGTCTGCAGCCTGCCTAGCATCTGGCCCTTCTACATATGGTCTGCAGGACAGATTGATGGAAGTTCCTTTATAGATCTTTTAAAGTTTCTCATTGCATTTTGGCATGGAAAAATGTGTTATGTTTCCATCTTCGTGGCCCCATCCGTCTCCCAAACCAGTCAGAGACAAATCCCCATTAATTGGATCAGCGGCAGGTTCAAATGCTAAATTGTATTTTATTTGCTTCCTCACCTCCTTTGCGGTTTGTCGCGTGGTCATATATTACTAACGCACATCATTGTGAGCAAAGATTGTCCCACAACATTTTCCTGTATTTTAGGCAGATGGGAGCATTCCTTGACATCTCAGAAACCAGGCAGAAAATACAGTTATTTTCATCCAGACTGCAGCCTGGTAGCCCAGCGCAAGAGCCTTTTACTGATGTGAGTTGTCAATCCCGGTGACTTCTGTAGGAAAGCTTACATGTGAAAGGATAATAGGATCCAGCCCTAATGTCATTTGGCAGAGCATCCAACACAAGGAGAAACCAAGAAAGTCAGATACTGTTGCTGAAGAGGTTAGCGGGGGAGGTTACATGAAAGAAGTGGGTTTTAAGGCAGTATTTGAACAGAGGGTGGAGATGGGGTACGCAAAAATAAATTGGCCCATAATTATGCTTAAGAAAACAATCTTCCTACAGAAGAAAAGTAAAGAAAAACAGAAGCTGGAATATAAGTGGCATATTGTGTAATGTAAAGGAAAACAAACTGCTTGGATTTTTTTATAACTACCAATTTTCAATGCAGAAGTATTATTACAATCTTCTGTGATTTGTGTAATGCCAACACTGAGCAAAAAGATACAATGAGAGAATTACATACGTGTGCACACACATCCACATGCGCAAGAACCCTCATCCTGAGAGGTGCCTCAGTCTCACAATTTTACCATTTTGAATTTTTCATGGTTTTAGGCCAAATAGTTTCATGCTACGGCTACCACCAGCAGAAATAAGCCGTTTTATGAGAATACTACCACTTGAAAACTGTCAGCTGCTGGCACTTGGACTGAGTGTTTTATAGAAGTGTCTGAAGCTATGTGGCACGCTGTGTATGCCACCTTGGGTGTTTGTTTTCTGTGTTCTCGAAGATTTTCTTTCATTGGCAAGAGTCACAGTGCTGTGTATTCTTACACCCGGCGTTTTTAGGTGGGCAACAGTGTGGTTTGAGCAGCTCTTGGTGCCTGGCTTGGTGTGGTAGTCTAGCTCAGGTCATCCTCATCCTGCCGCCGGCTCTGTGCGAGGACAGCCCCATGCAGATGCACTTGCAAGTGGTTGTCCACGGAAGTCACAGGGGACTGTGAGAGCTACCTGCCTTGATACAGTGCAAGCTGGAATATAAAAAAAAGGTGATTAAAAAAAAAACAAACAACAAAAACCAAAACAACCAACGAGCAATTCTCCAGCCTGTTGGGAGAGACCTGAGGAAGTAAGCGGTGACGCCTAGTTATTAGAAGTTAGAAACAGACTGTTGCCAGACTCAAAATATAGTTAAAATGTCATCAGTTAAATAATAAAAAGCTCTTTCCTTCCTTAGACTGAAGAACTATTATGCCGCAACTCAATCCACCATATTTTGATGGCATGATAGTTCCCTAGAAACAGACAAGTTTATAGCTGAGGCACTGACCCAAACTTCTCTTGAGTACGTCTGCGAAGTCTGGTCTGCTGTTTTCGTGCAAATTGTTTAAAACATTAACAGTTGCTATTTTGAACCGTGGTCCATATGATTTCTCTTTTCATTAAGTGATAATCGCAACTGCGTCTGCTGTCTGCGTGCGAGAAGAACTTCAGGCGTGTTTTCCATTTCACAATCTGACAAAACGCACAACACTTACAGGGGAAAAAAAAGGGCCTTTTATGCCGAAAAGAATTGTTTAAGAAAAGCTGGGCTGTATTTCTTTATACATCCAGTGTGGTGCCAGTTCACTTATGTCACACAGCCATTTATCCTAACGAAGCAAATGTCGAGACGCTTGCGGATGATTTGTTGTTTGATTCATTCTTTACCCATTTAAATCTGGCATTTCTTCAGCGCTTTGTATATGAAGGACACTCATCCTAGATGGTTTGATTATGCTGTGATCCTGTTGACTTTGTGTTTTTAAAGCATGGTGGTAGAGCAAATCTTATTCTCTTTACAGAATTACCTGGTAATTGCCAAAATTTAAGAAAAAAGAACTTGTGCAACTTCTTAAGCTTGATCATCTTTAACCTGGAGAAACAGCTCAACTGTTTTGTCAAAGGAATGTGAGATAGCTCCAGAAATCTCCTCACTTGCACCTGAGTAATAAAACCCCAACCTGGTAGCGTTCTGGCTAACAAAGACTACTTGCTTGTCCTTTCTTTGAGCCATATTTTAAGTCCAAGGTCAGCAGGATGAGTGGAGTGGGGTTTTCATGTCAGTTATTTTGGTATAAATCTGGAGTCATTTCACTAAGGCTACAGCAGGCTGGTTTTCTTTGCCTCTTTCTCATTCTGGGGTGATTGTCATCAGTTTGAGCCAACGTAGGTTTTGAACGGTGGATGTTGCTGACTAGCGCAAGCGGGTGATACACAAGAGTGGACTGTTCGCTGGCTCCCCTCAAAGTGCTGTATTTCATAGGATCCTGTACAGCACGGGGTATCTGGCTGCACACAGCAGCTTTGTACAACTCTGCGTCCAGCGGCTTTCAGGGACAGGGATATCGTCGTGTGCTGTGTCACATCATGTTTTGATGACCGTGGGGATACTATAGCGAGGGGACAGCTGGCCGGCTACTGCGGTGCGGGCGTAATTCTGGTGCCTCTAATCAAGACAGAAAGTACAGCTTAGTCATGCACAGAGTGCCCGTGGGAGAGGAGCAACGGCACTTGCAGTTTTCTCAAGATTCATTATCACAAATACACAACACACATGCCCATGAAGAATTAAAAAGACATTTGCAGAGGCTGCGATGAGTGGGACTACCTTCCCAGTCAGATTTTTGCGGTGTCTTTGCAGTTTTTATTTCAAGGAACTGATGGCAAGATCGCTGATAGCGTAGAGGTTTGTCCTCAGTTAAAAGTAAGGGTTTTTTATGGAGTTGCGTTACGCTCCTTTCCTTTGGATGCATCTTTTGGGGATGTAGAGCTGGGCATCGGGAATGCACAGCCAGTGGAAGCGTGGGCCTTGCTTTGCAGCGGTGTGCTGGCACGCTGCGGTCGCACTCCTCCTGTATCCGCCACCCGAGAAACGCGTGCGGATGCCCAGCAGGGCCCAGTGCTTTTATTCGTGTTGCCGTTTTCATGCGATGCTCGTTTCGTGATTGAGATTTGGGTAGCAAAAGAAAAGGGGTGCTGATCTTGATGTTTTGTTTTGTTCCTTCCCTGCAGAATTCCATCCGGCACAACTTGTCACTCCACAGCCGATTTGTCAGGGTGCAGAATGAAGGCACTGGGAAAAGCTCTTGGTGGATGATCAACCCAGACGGCGGAAAAGGCGGCAAGGCGCCCCGGAGACGCGCCGTGTCAATGGACAACAGCAACAAGTACACGAAGAGCAGAGGGCGGGCGGCTAAGAAAAAGGCAGCCCTGCAGACCGCCCAGGAGACGAGCGAGGACAGCCCTTCTCAGCTCTCCAAGTGGCCGGGGAGCCCCACCTCCCGCAGCAGCGACGAGTTGGATGCGTGGACGGATTTTCGCTCCCGTACGAATTCAAACGCCAGTACGATCAGCGGTCGCTTGTCGCCGATTTTGGCAAGCACCGAACTAGATGACGTTCAAGATGACGACGCTCCGCTTTCTCCCATGCTGTACAGCAGTCCATCGAGCTTGTCCCCGTCGGTAAACAAGCCGTGTACTGTGGAGTTGCCTAGGTTGACTGATATGGCTGGGACAATGAATTTGAACGATGGACTGACAGACAACCTCATGGATGATCTCTTGGACAATATAACACTCCCTCCCTCCCAGCAGTCGCCCACGGGAGGGATAATGCAGAGAAGCTCCAGTTTTCCGTATGGTTCCAAAGGTTCAGGGCTGGGGTCCCCGTCAAGTAGTTTCAACAACGCTGTGTTCGGGCCTTCGTCCCTGAATTCCCTCCGCCAGTCGCCCATGCAGACCATTCAGGAGAACAAGCAGGCCACCTTCTCTTCCCTTTCTCATTACAACAACCAGACGCTGCAGGATCTCCTTGCCTCTGATGCACTTAGCCACAGCGACGTCATGATGACACAGTCTGACCCGCTCATGTCACAAGCCAGCACAGCCGTGTCCGCCCAGAATTCCCGCAGGAATATAATGCTCCGCAACGACCCCATGATGTCGTTTGCCGCACAGTCCGGCCAGGGCGGTCTGGTCAATCAGAGCCTGCCTCATCACCAGCACCAGTCCCACAACTCCTCTCTTAGTGGCAGCCGTGCCTTGTCCAATTCCATCAGTAACATAGGCTTGAGTGACTCGAACAGCTTGGGATCCACCAAACATCAGCAGTCACCTGTCAATCAGTCTATGCAAACACTTTCTGACCCGCTCTCAGGCTCCTCTTTGTACTCCTCTAGCGTGAACCTCCCGGTCATGGGACACGAGAAATTCCCAAGTGACTTGGACCTGGATATATTCAATGGGAGCTTGGAGTGTGACATGGAGTCCATTATCCGCAGTGAACTCATGGATGCAGATGGGCTGGATTTTAACTTTGATTCCCTCATCTCAGCTCAGAACGTTGTCAGTCTGAATGTGGGGAACTTCACTGGTGCTAAACAGGCTTCATCACAGAGTTGGGTACCAGGCTGAAGGATCTTTGAGAACAGGGAAAATGGGCAAACAGGTCAGTGCCCCGTAGATGTGGTAAAATACTTGGTTCCTTAGTTTTATTGGAGTTTGCACCAAGCCCTTAATAGTTAGTGCACCCTAATAATATTAATTTGGCTTGTGATGGCTTGCTGTGTGTTGGCATGCAACAGGCACAACCAAGAAACATTGGGAGGTGTGGAGGGAAACGAGGCTAAGCTATAAAAGCTGCAACACTGTCAGCACGCACCTGATGCTGCGCGTCCTTCTTAATTTAGGCATGAGAAATGTTAATGACAAATCAAGCAAACCGAGGTGGAATATTTGTGGGCTTTGGGAATCACAGAGCTCCGACTTGTCTTCTTTGAAGTCTCAACAGATGGATTCTGCTCCGTGGCCGGTGCCGCACGTAGCCGAGCTGTGTTGGGTAGGGATGGGGAAGGGGCCGTGCGGTCAGCAGAGCAGCGCTGCTGCAGAGGAGGAGGAAGAGCATCTTTGTGGACCAGTGCACGCACTGAGCATCGGGTGTGCGGGATGGGTCTGGACTGAATTAAGGGTTGTGCTGCTGCTGTGGTACAGCAATGTTAGCGAAGTTGTTTGTTTGGGGTTTTTTACATTTTTTTTTTTTTAAATTGTATTCCTTGGCAAAAAAAGCCCATAGCAAATGGAGGAATTGTGTGTTGAAATAACAGAGGTGGGATCCTGGTTCCAGGAATGTCCTGGGTTTAATGTTTTAAATATACAAAAATTGTTGTTTCCCCCCTCACCCCGAGGACTGGGGTAGGTATAATTTTCTTTTGGAAATATCTGTAGGTTTGGGTTCTGACTTAGGTGCTCTTCAAATACTAGTCTCTTCAAATTATTTTTTTCCAGATTGATGTGTTTGAGGTTTTTTTTTTTTTCCCCCCATTGCTTCTTTGCCACAGCTGGAGAAATTTAAACTTGTAAACATTGTTTCTGTCATCCTTTTGTGATTCTGCGGGCTCCTGCCCGTACCTCTGCCCGCTCACACGTACATAGTCACTGACTCATAGGGCAGGTGCCACACAAAGTGCCCTTTCTCCTTTGTTTATTTATTAGTGTGAGGGACTCGATTTCAAAACATAGTAGGATAAAAGGTTAGCTATAAATTATTGAAAGTGTTCTATTAACTTCAGAATAGTATGTGCAATATCCCAGTGGTGAAGTTAAACGAGGCATTCATTCAGTTTGCAGCTTACTTCCAACTTTCTTGTTTTCTGGATGAAAGCTGGAAGGAAGGAGTCGGCGTCGTTTGACTTGACGGTGCCTAATTCGCCCCTTTCATTTTGAATTGAGTTTTCATTCTCTGTTTCACAGTTAGATGTTCAAGGGGAAGCTTTGGGGTAGGTGAGCAGCAGTGGTTGGACCTCCCGAACGTCTTCCTGTGTGGATGGAGTACCACCGGGGACGTGCGCTGTGATCCGCTGTCTGTGAGGGGGAGCAAGGCTGCACAGAGTCCCCCGTTCAGCCCTTCTGCAGAGCAACCTTGCTCTGGTGGAGCGGTTGGTTTGCGCGGTCCTTGCTCTGTCAGGGAGAGGGTTTCCTCTGCTTCTTTCACATCGTCTGGCTTAAAGCAAGAGCATGGCAGTGCATGGTCAGGGACGGGCTGCCGAGGTGGGCTGCAGAGGATGCCATGTCCCGCTGACCCTGCACGAGGCGGCAGCTTGGCCACAGCCGAGTTCTGGTTTTCTGTCAGCTCCAGTGCTGGAGAATTTAAGAAAGGAAAGGGGAAAAAAAGAGAATAGACTCATGAACCAGGAAGCAAAAACTCGCAGAAATCCTTTTTTGCGTAAGGTAAAAAAAAAAAAAGACTTTAGGAACTTTGTTGCTGTGAACATCCAGCAGTACAGCCTGCCAAATGGAGCCTAAAAAGTAGATGTTATTGACAGCTTTGCTTGATGCATTCCTGAGAGGGGAAATAGGGCAGCCTCCTGCTTCCGTGTCTCCGTTGCCTGCGCGTAGGTAGAAGATGCTGGCAGGGATGGGAGGTGCACCACGCCACCTCCTCACCGATGCTTGCTGCTGCCTCTTCATCCCAGCCTCTGCCGTTCCCGAAAGTGTAGTTGCTGTGATGTTTTTCAGGCTGCTCCCTCCGAATAAAGGAACTGACACATCTGTGTGAGCAGAGTCTCATTGCAGAGGACAGATTTACTAAAGAGGCAGCTCTCCTCA